TTCTGCTCGGTTCCTGGGATGGTCCTGAGATGATTCGGCAACCGAAAGGTAAAAAGTTTTCCAAGGTCGGGATTTCCCCAATTTTTGTTCCCGGGCAAAATGGAGTCGTGTCTATCATTTGGTCTTCTCCTCCACGGGAACGATCGCGCAGCTACAGGAGCGAAGCCGCGATTATTTCTCCCCTCATGTCTTATGGAAATCCATACAGAAGGTACAGAGTCACGGGCAGTGATCGAGTTGAAACTAGCCGGACAAGCTGCATTGAATTGTTCTACCCTTGGAGGAGGAGGCGTGCATTTGAGTCTGCTATACACACCTGGTCTGCAAACCTCGATTCGCACTACGTTGCCCTGTGTAAGTGTCCCGGACTCGATTAACCCATGTGCAGAAGGGGACGAGCAGTTGACAGATATTGCTCCAGAATGTCCTCTGTTGCTCCGTTTTGGTGATACATCCGTGAGGTTTATGTATATCATCGGGGAGCTCGTCGAAAATTGCTTACTCGGCATTGCAACCGAGTCTCAAGCCGCCACGTTGAGCGACGAAACGAGGGTGTCATGGCTCCAGTCGTCACGTGATCTTTCTCAAGGCCGTACCTTAAAGCACACGTCATTTCCTGTTTAGGTCTGGGTCTTTCTGTCCGGCGTCATAACGCCCTTTTTTCGCAGCGTACAAGGACACCTCGCAGGCCATTCCAGAATCGTCAACCTCTCACATGTGGGTGGCCAACTTTTGAGTAACGACACCATGGTCGACGGAGTCTCTGACGAGGATAGTCTTGTCGCATGGGAGCTGTTCCTCTCAGCATACAGCAAGGGGGAATACTTGCATTCATGTCCAGATATTCCACCACTCCCTCCGCGTCTCCGCGAGATGTTGGAGCATCCGGAACTCGCGCAATACGGCAAAGACAACCCTCACACACCCCTCTTCCCATCCACATATATCGACAGAGAGACGGCTCGGATAGCTCGGGACTTTTTCTGCGCACATGGATATCTCCCCCCTCCCCGCCCAACCACAGAAAAGAGCCGCGAAGCTTGCGTTCTCGAATACGATCTGCTGTCCGAAAGCCAGCTGACAAACATACAAGAAGCCGTCGACATCCTGAGTGGATTCTTCCCCGGGGCTCTCATCAGCTTCTCCCTCTTCTACAAGAGAGTGCAACAGTACTATGCTTTCGCTGGTCCTCAGGAATACATTGATCTCTTTTCACTATGCAAAGGCGGCGCCATCCCCGTTGAAGACAGTCTGTGTGCCCACGCCGTCTTGTCTGCTGGGAAAACGGTTTTCATCCCTGATGCGAAGAAGGACTGGAGATATCGATACAATCCATATGTCCTCAGAGGCATGGAGGCATACATCGGCAGTCCAGTCCGCCTTTCTGAGGATCCGACAAGGCCAGAGGCAGAGTTGATAACCATCGGAACGCTCAATGTGTGCTTCATGAATAAGACGGTGGAACAAGTCCTGGGGAGAGAAGAGCAGGCTATCTCGTACGTCAGCCAAATGCTACAGACAATGCTCAGGGCAACGTGGCAAGGACACGTAGGAACAAGGGAAGGACGAGTAAGAACAGCGATCGGAAATTTTCTGGAATGTAGCCTAAAAATGAGTCAAGAAGAGAAGGCCAACAAGGATTCGCGAGACGGACCAGCATCCATGCGGGAACTGCACGATAGGGGGCTTCATGATCTGGCGCACGAAGCTGTCAAGACTGTCAGATGTATCTTTCCGGAATTGAAGTCTGTCAGCTTGATTG